GGGCTTTTCCCCAGGAGAGTGTTTTTAGGATTGCAGCCTAAAGTGGGCAAATGGGCAAATGAAGTGGGCAAATGGGCAAATGAAGTGGGCAAATGAAGTCCAACAGACTATAGCAACTCCCCTCACCCTGACCACTAAGTCTAGGCTGATGTTTACCCAGCAAAAGCCCCTATAGTACACTATACTGTAGTTAAGCCAACAACACAAAGTAGCCTAATGATACCACCTCAACAGCTGGTTAAGGAATGAGTACAACCTCTGTAAACAGAAGGTACACAGTACTCCTTGTCCTTCTCAAGCAAGCTAACGTTTAAAGAAATAAAAGGTGCTATTGCTCTCCTAATTCCCCTTCACCCTAGACTTCATGTCTGCCTACTGTCTGAATCATGTTATCCTTAAAAAACAAATTTCAAAATTTTTGCTCCCATAACACTCTAAAAATTGTAGCATGAAATACAACCTTAAGGCCTCCTGGATTTGAAGTTCTAAAACAAATTTAATTACTGTTAACACCACACCCACTTAGTGAACTAATTTTTCTCTGTTCAAAATCTAAAAATACACAACATTTCCAGAGTATTCTTATGTGATATTATAGAAAAGGAATAGGATTCATCGCTGATGGATGCAGTTTGTTAGGATTTGTCAGAACTCGAAGCAACTTTAGTTATGCCACAGTTCCTGAGCACCAAGCTGGAAGGTAAACAGTAATGTTGTATACTTGATGAGAATCCAAGCAGCACTAAAATTTCTCACGCATGCACAGAGCACATATCATCCAACAACATTATTCTATATACCAATGTAAAATGGAATATAGTAACTGAAAAGCCAAATATCACAACTTTTGCCAAGTTAAAAACCAAATATATTTTATTTTGATCATAGATAGATTGACTTATATAGATGATTCCTTGTTGCACAGGACATGCTCTGAAAGGACCACAGCAAAGCAGTGCCATCATTATAACTGCAAACAAATAAAAGCAAGTTTGATATTGCATTGCTCAAACAAACAAGATATCTACATCATAATCAAAGATTTCAAGACGGTTTGCGGTCTTATCCCTCAGCATTCCTTTTGTGAGTTATTTTGACAATGGCTATACACTTCAATGAGCATATGTGCCCATTTGTCTTAATAGGAATCCATTCTCAGCACCATTCAGTTGTTGTTGTTGTTCAGTCGCACAGTCGAGTCCGACTCCTCGCGACCCCATGGACCAGATCCCGCCAGCACCATTCAGTAGTCATGGTTAAAAATTGTGAAGGAACCAGAATTTGACATTCTTAATGCTAAAGGAAGGATGAAATTTTATATACAGTGCTCTTGTAAACTAAATTCACTCTGAAAAACAAAGTATTTAGTATAACACCATACGCGAACTACAGAATATTTTAAGTACGTATAGTTTCCCAAACAAAACAGCCTCTGTATAAAATATCCTACTAAAAACAGAAGTAAGACCACTTGAAGTTAGAATTCTAACTGAAGCTAGAAAGGATAACAGGCAAAAGAAATTAGGTTTTGCCACACAATCAGCTTTGAATAATATCCAGTACATTTAAACTAATGACAACAGTAACTGATGACAGAAGATGACAAAGCTGAAAACAGAAGAGCCCACACTTGCCTAACTGATCCCTGTCCATTATTATCTTTAAACTGTCAAGAAGCTTACAAGACCCTTGCTTCAGAGATCTATTAATTTTTTTAATACAGTGGTCACCTGTAATTTGCACACCAGTGAGAAGCTGGAACTGGTGTATTTATTTAGCTCAGTACTACCTACTCTGATCAGGAGCAGCTGTACCAAGTCTTCAGACAGGCCTACAAGTTCCCCTTAACTGCAAATGGCAGAGGTTGGCCCTAGGATGTTAAGTGCTGTATAAGACCAACTATGTATAATGTCTTCAAAAGCTATGTTCCTTTAACCCAACACAGGCAGGTCACCTTCAACAGCATATTTATTTAGAATTATGCCCTTTTCTACACCTAAAAAACAGGGATTTCATCAAGTCTGTGCTATTCAAGTAGCAATTTGAGATAGAATGTCAGAGTGAAATTTCTGGCACTGGTAGAGTCTTTAGGGGTTATACCATACACACAAAATCATGTACTTGTTTATATAAGCAAGATTTTCCCACTCCAAGCAAAAAAGCCAAACTGAACTCAAGACAAGCCTGTTTACATAACAATCACTGGCTTGGTTTGTATTACCCAAACTGTGTTTCATCTCAAACAAATCAAGACCACTTAATGTCAAAGAAATAATCTGAGAAGGCTCAAACAAAAATACTCCTTTGTCTCGTGTCCAAAGGGGGGGGCATAAAATTGCTGCTAAAAGTTCTTTTTCCATATTGTCTGCCTTCTGTATAGAGTCCAGGAACCACCTCAGTTTCTAAGCAGTGTTATCCAAATCGGCTGTGAAGCAGCTAACACATTTCATCTATTCTCTACCTACTTTTAAACAAACCAAAACTACAACTTACACATCTGGAACACATAGAGTGTGTTATGGGAGTCCCCTTTCCACAGTTTCTCCTCACCATCTCCCAACAAGATGACTTCATTTATTTTTATTTATTTATTTATCCTTAAATTTATATCCTGCCCTCCCCGAAGGCTCAGGCCGGCTCACAAGGGGCACACAAGGGGCACGGATGCCCAGGTTAAGACACTAAAACAATACAGAATAATATAAAATACAATAAATACAGTTTGGTGTAGTGGTTAAGTGGGCGGACTCTAATCTGGGAGAACCGGGTTTGATTCCCCACTCCTCCACTTGCACCTGCTGATGTGACCTTGGGTCAGTCACAAGCTCTGGCACAGCTGTCCTTGAAAAAGAGCAGTTTGTGTCAGAGCTCTCTCAGCCCCACCCACCTCACAGGGTGTCTGTTGTGGGGAGGGGAAGGGAAAGGAGTTTGTAAGCCGCTCTGAGACTCCAAGTGAAGGGCGGGGTATAAATCCAATCTCTTCTCTTCTTCTTCACTAAAAATTACTTTACGGTGCTCCAAATATATTTAACTATGAAATTCAAGATGGGGTTCTAAAATTATTTATACTAGAACAAACAATAGTAATAACAATATACAGCAGCAACAATATATGTCCCTATAGCATTGTCCTCTGCCAGGAACATCTCGCGCCCCCAACAGTACCCGCTCTGAAGATGGTCAATTATCAGGAATAAAGAGGGGGACGCAGATGGAATGATGGTAACGATGGTGATGTAATGATGATGGCGTAATGATGGTGGCGGCCCCTACTCAAAAGCCTGGCGGAAGAGCTCCGTTTTACAGGCCCTGCAGAACTGCACCAAGTCCCACAGGGCCCAGATCTCTTCTGGGAGCTCATTCCACCAGGTAGGAGCCGCCACCGAAAACGCCCTGGCCCTGGTAACCACAAGTTTGATGTTTCTGGGGCCTGGAAAATCCAGGAGATTTTGGTGCCCTTGGCGGAACATGCAGGGAGAGGCGGTCTCTAAGGTAAGCAGGACCCTGACCATATAGGGCTTTAAAGGTTAAAACCAGCACTTTGAAGCGAATCCGGTACGCCATTGGCAGCCAGTGTAGCGCTTTCAGCACAGGCCGGATGGGATCCGTCTAGTGAGACCCATCAACAGCCTGGCTGCAGCATTCTGCACTAGCTGCAGCTTCTGAATTTGCGACAAAGGCAGCCCCATGTAGAGAGTGTTACAGTAGTCCAGCCTCGAGGTGACCGTCGCATGGATCATCGAGGAAAAGAACCAACTGCCGCACCAGCTGAAGATGATAAAAGGCCGACTTGGCAGTGGCTGCCACCTGGGCCTCCATTGTTAAGGAGGAGTCCAGGAGCACACTCAAACTCCTAACCTCAGGCGCCCCATCGAAGGTCGGGAGAGGGAGCCCCAACCCCGAACCAATCCGACTCAGGCCCAGGACCTCCATCTTTGCTTTTAGTTTCAGCCGACTCATTATGAATTCTAAATCACCCATTAGCATGGTTCCAAATACATTTCGTTTACTTTCATCGAAAGGGTAAGTGGATTCCTCCAGAGGATGCTGCTGTTATCACTTCGGCTGACAAACGCCTTTCAAAGCCCACTGGCACATGGGGGGGGGGCAGCACGGATCTACACAAAGCCGTAAGCCACAGGCCCAAATCATCACCTCCTAGATCACCTCAAGGCAGGAATGAAAAGATCAGACCAACTGCAGGTGGTGAACCGCTGCTGGACCAACAGGCGTTTTGCCACAAGAGCAGCCAGACGTGATCCACATGCAGCAAACCCCGCAGACCAAGAAAGCGCCAACTAGCTGCCGATGGCACTGGGAAACGGCGGTAGCATCCACTCCCACCCTTGTCAATAAAGCAGAGGACCGGCTGCATCGCACTGCCGGACGCCAGTAGACAGGCAGATGCCTGCGCGTTGCCCGCCTTTCCTCACAGCCAGGCACACACACACACACACCCACTGCCTAAAGGGCAAGGCAGCGCGCATTTACCCACCCGAAATAAAATGAGGAAGAAAGCAAGACGAAAATGGAAAGGGCCCGAAAGCGGAATACTGTCAACAACTGAGCTCCCAGAAGCCGGCTGAAAGACAGGTCTCCTCGCACACCCGGGGAGGAAAAGCAGGAGGGGCGCGCACGCAGAAGGGAAGAGGGGGCAGACTCCTGCACTGGGGGGGGGGGGGGGGTTGTCGTCACCTCACAGCATCCCCTTCCACCTCCCGGGGGACTCCGTGAACCGAGCGGGTGCCGTCCAGGCTAGACAACTCCAGACAACAAGAGCGCAGCGGCCAAGAACAACAGAGACGACTGGAGCAGCCCCCTTTCGCCAACGACTGCAGCCCTCTCCTACTGCCCACTGCCGTACCCCAAAGGTACAAAGGACAAGACACCCCCTTTCCAGTTGTGCAAACCGGACGGCTTGCACCCTGTTACCGAAACTCTAGTTGAGCCATGCTCCCACCCTCCAATGCCTCACGCGTGACACGGTCTTCCCCCCCTACCTGCCCGTGTCCCTGGTGGTGGCGGCGGCGGCGCCGTCTTGTTCTTCCTCCTAGGGGCTCGTCCCGCACTCAGAGCCGCCCGCTCTCCTCCGCTCCCCATCTAAAATGGCGGCCCGACTAACAGCGAGACATTTATTCCGAAGCCATCGAAACAATCGGTGCTCGACTCCTTCCTCCTGGAGCGCCGAGATTGCGAAGTCTCCCACCCCTTTCTCCGCCTAGACTTGCCAGCCACTCTTGGCTTCCATTTGAAACTCCTGCCGACGGGGGGGGCGGGGAGGGGATAAACGGGCTCTCAGAGGTTAAGGAAGGTTACGATTACAAATGCCCCCCCGGGGGGGGGGGGGCGCAGCAGGGGGGAACACAAAGGTTACGATTACAAATGCCCCCCCGGGGGGGGGGGTCGCAGCCGGAGGGAAAACAGTGCTTACCCCAGCTTCGAAAGTGTATTCTGAGGTACCTCCCAAATCTTGTCTAGACTGGGATTAAGGATGCCAGATGTCCCTTGTTTTCAGGGAATTCCTCTTTATTTCCAGAGCATCATACCTCATGGAACATAATAGAAAGCGCCTTAGTAGCCCCATCTCCCACCGGGAGAATCTGTGTTGATTTCCATTCACTATAACAGCACCATTCGAAGTCCGTGGAGTACTTTTCAGTACTTAGCTATAGATATTTTCAGTTTGCAAACTGGTCTGCCATTCGTATTGCGTTTGCCGAGAAACGATCCCTGGGAGGTAGGTCACTTGTTTCTGTTGGGTAGATGCTGAGGCTGACATGCCCTAGAATCCCATTATTTATTTTCGTATTTAGATATTTACATCTCATGTTTCTTCCCACTGGTGACCCAAAGTGGCTTGCCACTTCCTTCTTCCCTCCTCTGTTTTATTCTCACAACAATGCTGTGAGGTAGGTTGGGCTGAGAAAGGGTGACTGGCCCAAGTCATGTGGTGAACTTCCACAAAAGACTAGGCAGCCTGTGAGAGAAATGGAATTTGAATCCTACCTTCCAGACTACAAATGTCACATATATTCTCCCTCCTGAATTATTTCTACAATAGGAGTTTCTCCTTAAAATAATATAAATTGGTTATCCCTGAACTTCCAAAAATCACATAGCCTACCTTTTGGTTGTATATCAAGTTTACAATTCCATGTTGTAGCAATTAGAACACATGCATTGTTGTACATTAACCGTACTATACTGATTGTTAGTAGACTCAGAGCAATCCTAAACAGGTCTACTCTGAATTCTACTATAGCCTATTCAATAGGGCTTACTCCGAGGAAAGTGTATTTAGGATTGTTACTGTGTTATACCCTGTCAAGTTTATGGTGAACCTATGAATTAATGACCTTCAAAACGTCCTATCATTAACACCTGGTTCAAGTCTTGCAAACTGTGTTAGTAGACTATTTAAAGGTTTTCAGTAATAGACAATATGCAGTATATGGTTAAGGTTACCAACCTCAAAGCAGGGACTGGTGTTCTCCTGCAATTACAACTAATGTCCAAACTACAGTGATCAATTCCCATGGAAGAAATGACAGCTTTGGATTACAAACTCTATGGTATACCATAGAATGCAGAAGAAATAGAAGCCCTAGAATGCCATCACATCCCCACTGAGTCTCCCCCTCCAACTTCACCTTCCCCAGGTTCCACCCCCAAATTTACAGGAATCTCTGTGTGTGTTCCTGCAGCAAACTGAGAGGGGAAGCAATATTTGGACATTTTATGCCAAACAGTCTCCCCATCCCAATTTCCATAAACTCTCAGGCTAATTTATTAACTGCTCTCCATTTTCTTTCTCTATTGGGGCATTCCAGAGGATACTTTTTGAGTTTTATTTTGGGTTAATATACAAAAGTTACAGGTTTCTGAAAACGTGTAGAGATATCTGATCCCACTTCTCTAGTCTACACAGGATTCTTCTTCACAGGCCCGTAGCTAGGATTTTGTAATTCAGGGATCCTTTAAATAAGTCCGGGGGCACTGACTTCACAAATTTTTTAAAAAATTTTTTTAAAAAAAACTCATGCTCACCAGTTGGAACCCCCATTCACTCTTGGAACCTCCATTCACTCCCATCCGGTAGCCCTGCAGCCGATTCACACCAGGGCTCATCAACATCATCATGTGGTCCACCACGGGAACCTGGGCACCCAAAGGTGGTGGCGATTTGAAGAGCAGCTTGCAACACAACAAAAGCGTGTGGTAGGAGCGCAGATGTGTGTCAGTTTTGCTGGATGAAAGTGGGGGGGGCTTGGTGGAAGTCGGGGAGGGCAGGCCCCGAAATGCCTCACTGTAGCTACAGGCCTGCTTCTTCATCCTCACAAAGCTATACTAGGATCAAATCACAGAAAGATATAGGGATTATTCAGTAGCTGAAGTCAAATGAATTTATTGGCAGCACAGCTAGTATCTTTGGGATTGGGAAAGGACTTGGAAGAGATTACAGCTTTCAACTGTCTGTAGCTCCTTTCCATCCTTCATGCCATTCTTACCACTTCACGGCAATTTATCCATAGCCTTTCTATAAATCTGACTTGATCATACAATTTCTTCCATTTTTCAGGATATTGCTAATTTTTGTACTATATCGGAGGGATAAGATTAAACAACTTGCCCCACAGACACCCTGAAGGCTGCTATAACTAGTCATCTCGCTAGCTGCTCTTGTCAATTTCTGTGGATCAGAAACACTTTTTCATTATTTGCTTCTGTGGTAGCTCTGTCTTTTCTCCAGACAGGCAAACTGCAACCCTGACAGGGCAATTCCCATCAGAAGAAGGGTTTTAAAAACTCCTGTGCCACAGTCCCAGTGTGAAAACACACACTACTTCCTCTGAATCTGCTTGTGCTCTTTTAGAAGAAACCTGCAGGCAATTACGTATCTCCCACGTTATGTGTACTTTGGCCCACAGACATTTCAAAGAGAAAGTTACTCTCGATTCAAGGGCTAAAGATTGTTTCAAGGCCAAAAGTGTGATTTGAAAGTGCTCCTCCAGCAGCAGTCACTCTACATTTCTTTGCCCATTACTAGAACAAAGTTTGACTCCAGTGGCACCTTTAAGACCAACAAAGTTTTATTCAAGGTATAAGCTTAAGCACACTTCTGCAGATACAGTAAAACAGAATTTCCTCAACCATTATAACTAGTTCTTTTCCCATTAGTGACAAGGATACAGAGGTAGGGGAGATAGATCTAATAAAATTATGTGAGCTTCTCAATGGGTTTATAAATTGACTCAAATCTCTTTTTTCCCAATTACAGTTCAACTAGGTTAATTTTAAAAGAGGTTATTTTGGCAATATCATATCATATAATTATAATGTCTGCCCTACAGGGTGGACATCTCTGAAAACTGACACTCAATTTGAAAACACTTTTTCCCCCTCTCCTGGTTTGGACAAAGCCATTTTCAGATGAGAATCTTGCTCATTGTGTATCTTACCTAAGCACTAATTAACCTCATTTATCCAACATCTTGTAAACATGAGGGATCAAGTAGGACTAAAAAAATCTTACATAATTACAGTGTTGCATTTAAAGCAAAGCTAGCATCTTTAATTAACAACTGACCATTGCAATGAATGAACCAGGAACTCAACCAAGATTCAGGAATGGAGATTCAATAAATACTTTTTCCCCCCATAAAGGATTGTCTCTGCAGTCAAAGAAGAGAGAAGCGAGGAACAAATGTATAATAATAGACAAATACAACAGTATCCCAAAAGTGAGATAAATATCAGTATATCTAATTCTCAACATGGATATGCCAGAGACTGTATTCATGAACAGATAAGACAGCTCTTTCTACAAAAGTGAAAAAGCACCACTTTTTCAGAATAATCTGAAATCTAAAAAAGGGGGTGGTTAAAAAAACCTCAAAATAATAGGAAAACCTATAGCTTTAAGAAACAAACAGCTCCAGTGGCCATTGCCAGGCAACCACAACAGTACTGCCAGCCTTCAAGCCTTGGTTTTTGTCAGTAAAAGGCTGGGGGACGGGGCAGCACCCTTTCCAGGTATATTTTGGCCTTTGAGAGAGGACTCATTGTGCCCAGGACTAGCTGCTTATTAGCGTTAAACAATAGCCACCCCCCAAAATACAGTCTGGTGTAGTGATTAGAGTTTCAGACTAGGATTTGGGAGAACCAAATTGAAATCTCCACTCTATGGTGGAAGCTCACTGGGTGACCTTAGGGCCACTTATATATTCTCAGCAAACTTACCTCACAGAGTTGTTGTGAGGATAAATTGGAGGAGGGGAGAACAATGTAAGCTAATCTGAGTTCCCATTGTAGAGAAAAGTGGAAATAAATGAAGAAATATAAATATAGTTGAAGACAGGAGGTCAGGTAAAAGGTAGGTGGGTGGGTGGGTGGGTGGGAAGAAGAGAAGGAAGCAGGAAAAAGGAAGAGACTGTGGGGCT